CAGAAAACTAGTAAGAAAATAATCTTAAAAGCAGCCAGAGAGCAATGACACATTAGCTATATGGGAACAATAACTCAAACATCAGCAGATTTCTCACCGGAAACCCTAGAGACCAGAAAGACGTGGTACATTTTTCAAGTGCTGAAGGAAAAGGACTGTAAACTCCAAATTTAATATCAGACAAAAGTATCCTTCAGAAATTGAAGGGGAAAGAAAGACATTCTCAGATGAAGAAAAGCTAAAGGTATTTGTCACCAACAGATCTATCCTTAGGAAGTTCTCCTAAAGACAGTTCTCCAAACAGAAATGAAGTAAGTGAGTAAGGCTTAACTTTAGCAAAGGAAGAACAATGGAATGGGTAAAGGTAGTGGTGAATATAATGGACTATCCTTCTCCTCATGAGTTTCTTAAATCATATTTGATGGCTAAAGCAAAGTTATGGCATCATTTGATGTGGTGCTCAGTGTATGTAGAGGAAGTATGACAATTATATTTAAAAAGTATAGCGGTTAAAAGGACCTAAATATAAGTAAGGTTTCTACACTTCACTTGAGGTAATAAAATGTCAATACAAGTAGGCTGGGTGATATGTATGTATACTGTTATACCTAGCACAACTAGTGAAGAAAAAAAAAAGTGTACTAGGTGATGTATTGAAAACATTATAAATAAGTCAAATAGGATCCTAAAAAAATTCAAGTAACCTATAAGAAGGCAAGATGAGAACAGAAAAGTAGAAGGCAGAGGAAACACACAGAAAAGAAATACTAAAATGGCTGACTTAAGCCCTAATACATCAATAATTATTTTAAGTACAAATAGTCTGATTATACCAATTAAAAGGCAGAGATAGATAGAAATGTATTTAAAAAGAAACATGATCCAATAAAAAAATAAACAAATAAAAAGAAATACTACCCAACTATATGTTGTCTACAAAAAAGTCACTTCAAACATACCAAGATTGGTTGGTTGAAAATAAAAGAATAAAAAAAGTATACCACGCTAATATTTTTTTTAAAAAAGAAAGATGGGATATATTACTATCAGATAAAATAGAAGTCAGAGCAAAGAAAATGACTGTACAAAAAGTACATTTTATACTGATAAAAGGATTAATCCACCAACAAGATACCCTAAATTGACACGCACCACACAGAGACTCAAAATGCATAAAGCAAAAGCCAATAGAGCTGAAAAGAGAAAGAGAAAAATCCACAATTATAGTTGGAGACTTTTAGCAATGAGAACTACTAGATAAACAACAACATATGCAAGAACTGAAGGACACCATTAACCAACAGAATGCAATTGACATGTATTGAGCCCTCCACCGAAAGGCAGCAGCATACACATTTTTTTCAAGTACACATGGAATATTCACCAAGCTACACCATATCTTAGGTCATAAAACAAACAGAATCTTAAAAGAATTAAAATAACACAGCTTATGTCTTCCAACCATTATGCAAAAACTAGAAATCAATAACATGAAGACAACAGGTAAATATCCAAACACTTGGAAACTAAATACTCACTTCTAAGTAATCCATGGACCAAAGAGGAGGTTTCAGAGGAAATTTTAAGAATACAAAGAACTCAATGAAAATACTAAATTTTGTAATATGCAACAAAAGCAATTCTGAGAGGTAAATTTAGAGCACCATATGCTTACATTAGAAATGAGACAAGTTCTCAAATCAATAATCAAGAAACTAGAAAAAGAAGAGCAAAATAAACCAAAAATGAGCAGAATGAAGAAAATGATAAATATCAAAGCAAAAATCAATACAACTGAAAAAAGAGAAAAATCAATTAAACAGCAATTTCTTTGAAAAAGATCAATAGAATTAATAAACCTCCACTGGAAAGAATAAAAAGAGAGAAGACACAAATGACTAATATCAGGAATAACAGGGGTTATCACCAAAGACTTCACAAAATACTATTACCCTAACACCAAAACCAAAGGCGGTACAAAAAAGAAAACTACACATCAATACCTCTCATATCTATACCTTAGCCAAATATTAGCAAATAGATTCCAGCAACGTATTAAAAAGATTCATATACCACAATACAGTGGGAGCTAGTCCAAGTATGTGCAACATTCGAAAATCAATCCTATCAAGATACTATAAGAAGAAAAATAATACGAATTAACTAAATACAAACCATCTGACCCTGTGTTGTACTCTGGGGCATTTATCCCAGAGAAATAAAAACATTCACACAAAACCTTCACACAAAGGTTCATAGTAGTTCTACTTGTAAGAGCCCATAACTGGACACAACCCAAATGTCCTTCAACAAGTGAATGGTTAAACAAACTGTGGCATAGTCATACACCATAGAATACTACTCAGCAATAAAAAGGAACAAACTACTGACTCGTGAAACAACTTGGATGCATCTCAAAGGAGTTAATGCTGAGTGAAGAAAGTCAATCTCAAATAGTTACATACTATGTGATTATATTTATACTACATTTCTTGAAATAGACAAAATTATAGATATGGAGAACAGATTGGTGGTTGCCAGGGTTAGAGAATAGGGTAGGAGATGGCTGTGGCAGCATGAGGGGATGCTGTGCTGATGGAACAGTTCTGTATCTGGAATATACTGGTGGTTATATGAAGCTATAGACTTGAATATAGACAAGAATATGGTGTAGCTTGTAAAACTGGTGAAATCTCAATAAACTCTTTAGATCACATTGATGACACAGTTATGCAAGATGTTATAGAGGGAGGTTAGTTGAACTGTACAAGGGGACCTCTTTGTAGTTTTTTTTTTTTTTTTTTGGCATTTCCCTGTGCATCATAATAATTTCAAAAGAAGAGTTTTTAAACACAAATAACACTATTATTTAATTGCAATTTGTATAAGAAGAATAAAAGAGGGAAAGTGGGAATTTGACCACATAGCCCTTTATAAGCCTCAAAACATACAGCTGAAGTCAACATATAAAACAGATGCATAAACAGAACATCTGCACCCTTCCATTAAATTTATGTCTCTCCCATCTTTCTCCAGAATAATGTCAGAGAAGTAATCATTTGCTATATCCTGACTTGATGATAATCTCACCACCCACAACAAAACCACCTTCTTTTTCTGTAGTTCTTTCATTTGTGAAGTACATTCTCATCTGGCTTTAACAGCACTGCCAAATAGGCAGTACAATTAACAGAGTAAGAAATTGCAAGTCAAAATTGTTATATCATCATCATTATTATTATTAAATGGCTTCTTTCTTTAAAAAAATGTTTTTATTGATTTTAGAGAGGAAGGGAAGGGAGGAGAGGGGGAGAGAGAAACACTGATGTAAGAGAGAAACATCGATCGTTTACCTCCCATATGCACCCCAACTGGGGGACCAAACCCAAAATTTGGGCATGTGCCCTGACCAGCAATTGAACAGTCAGCCTTTTGGTGTAGAGGAGGATGCTCAATCAACTGAGCCACACCGGCCAGGGCTAAAATTTTTATATTATTTGTCTGTGGTTATAGGGCTTTAAAATGTCACAATCAATTCAACCATCTTCTGACTCCTACTCTAGGAATTTCTAGTCACATACTACTCTGAAATTTTATGCAATACAACAGAATCTAAAAAGAAATACCATAATATTGTAGAATGGGAATAAGTATGATGCACTTTACACCAAGATTCTGTGAAACGGTCTCTTGCTGCTGCTTAATAAGTGGTCATGAAATTAGTAATTTTACAACTTTTACATTTTGTCTAACTTTGCTAGTTTAATGACAACATAATGACTTCCAGTAAGATTCTTCTCAAACTTGTACAACTGGGTCAGAAGAACAAGTTTATGTGATGAACATAAAAGTCATTACCACTCCGGAGAAAATATCAAAACTAAAGCACATACTATATTCATGATAAATGTACTGAATTATCTTTACCTGATAAAGGGAACCCCTTCCCCCCCATAACTCCTTTGCTTTCTTCTAAGCTTGGGAATCAAGGAATCAAGGGTCCCAATCTGCATCCTGTCTTTTGCGGAAAAATAAAAACCCAAGGGTGAGAATTTACAGTTAAGTTGTTAAGGGTAAATGAAAGGCAGTGTGAGCACTAAATGCCTGCTGAAAAAAAAGGCATCAAGAGAGCTGTGAAGTGTGTGGGGGTCATTCTATGAATACTTGTGTGTAAACCACTGTTCTAAATGCAGATGAATAATCTGTTGATACAGCAGCCTTATGTAGTGGATACGAATGTACCCCTATGTTACAGATGAGAAAAATGGAGGCACAAGACTACTTCAGTAAAATACCAAGATGCACTATAAGGGGTATAGGCATCAGAAAGCCTCAATGGTTTCCCCAAAATGCTGTGCTCTAAATTCAAGGGCGCAAGCTCCGTTTTGACCTTGGCGCCACAGAGAAGTATTAAAGCTACTGCTGCTGAACCTCACACACGCGGTTAGGGAGTGTCAAGTTCAGAGACTGGCCCAAAGGTCAATTTTCAAGGGGACCTGGTGTTAACAAATTTAGGAGAGGTGTGGGGGAAGCTCATCCTTCTGAGAACCCTGAGTCCAAACCAAACGCTTCCAGACCCCGCAGATGGACAAGTGGGGAAATGGAGACCCACGGAGGAAGAGTGACTCCAGGGCTAGTTGGAGGCTTCACTGGTAAAAGAACTCAGCTCTGGGCAGTGCCCAGCTCGGATGTGGCCTCCCCAGTCACTTCCTCCCGGGCAGGGGCCCCACGCCCTGGCCTCTACTCCCCAGGTCCCCCACATGCGGACTGCATTTAAGTACTGGGTCAGAACTACAAATGGTACGTTCCCGCGCTCAGAGGAGCGACTGCTGGGCCGGCAGCAAAGGGGGTCCCGGCCAAGGGCTCCGAGCCCCCTGGTCGCAGCACTGTCACTTGTGCCCGGCGGCCCGCCCGGCCCAGGGCAGCAGAGACAGGACGGGCTCCGGCTCCCGCGCCTCGTCCTCCGGCAAAGTCACCCCAACAAGGGACCAGAACCTCACCTGTCCGCCTACAAGGCAGCCTGCTCTGCAGTGACGATCCCGGGAAGGCGTCGCCGGGTCCGGAAGTCCCCGCCCTCTGACGTCACAGCCCCGCGACGCGCGCAGCCGCAGGGAGCCGGCGCCTTCGGGACGCGCCGCCGAGGCTGGGAAGGTGCTTGGCCCTGGCCTTGGCCTGGGGTCCAGAGGCAGGAGACCGCTGGGAGGCTGTAGGAGCTTTCTCTTCCCTTCCGTTTGAATGCCATCCCTCTCTTATTTCAGCCATTTATAACATACTTCTGGCTTCCCTTCCTGTTTTCTCCATTTCTCACCTTTTAACCCCCTCTGCCCACTTTCTCTCGTTTACTGGTCGCTTCTCTTCCGACCCCACAGACACGGGGAAGTTGGTTCTCACCTGACTTCATTAGCATTGATATAGCCAGCCTGTGCTGCTCCACAATTTAGCAAAAGGCTGTCCATTCCAGAGGTGTTTCAAATTTGCCATACCCAGACTCCGTGAAGGCAAAGGTCGTATTTGTCTTGTTGGAAGTAGACTGGTCCTCTTCTTCATAGCCTCTCCCCCTTTTCAGTTTTACTTTCTAAATATAATACATAACACCACGAGTTTAGAAAAAGCCATTCACCGTGCTAAGAAGATTTTTTTTTTAAATCCTCACCGGAGGACATTTTTGCATTTATCTTGAGATAGAGCAGGAGGGAGAGAGAGAGACATCTATGTGAGAGAGACACATCGAGTAGTTGCCACCCACACAGCCCCAGGTTGGGGTTGGGGACAAACTGCAACCAAGGTACACACCCTTAGTGGGAACCAAACCAGGGCCTCTCTGGTCCACTGGCCGACGCTCTAACTGCTGAGCCAAACCAGCCAGGGCTGTGGTAAGAGCTTTTCATGAATTAACTCAGTTGTCCTCACAGCAAACCCTTGAAGTCAGAATTAATATGTGACTATAGACTCTGGAAACATAGACAAATACACAAAATAAATGAGTGATTACATTACACGATATGTTCAAGGTGTTGTCCCTCATTACTAAGGCACAGTTCAGTGTGCAAAAATTCCAGTGAGTGTGGTTCACAAATGCAACATTTCTTTCAATCCTTGCATATGCATTTGTGATGTGTTGTCTCAAGTGATTTATGTCTCTGATTTCATTACGTAAACCTATGCCAGAAAAATTAACCAAGAAGCTTCAGTGTTAGAAAGTTCAGCCTAGCTGGGAGAATCTAGCTTATAGTCTTTCATGGTTGCAACCAAGTTGGTTGGTCAGGGTTGTAGACATCTCAGAGTTCCACTGCTAAGCTCAATCATGTAATTATTGCCTAGACACTCTTTCTCACTAGCTGTTGGTCAGAGGCTGACCTATTTCAGGGGCATCTGGAGACTCATTATAAAAGCATTCAGGAGCTGATTCCACATTCCATTGATCTAGCAATGTCCAAAGGAAGATGCAATTTATGTTTTTTGATTATTTAACTTCATGACTGGGTGGCAATGAGTAATGTATGGAAAGAAAACTTCAAAATCTAAGTTGAAGCTTGTGTAGAACAGGAATGTAAATGACCAGAAGGAGAGAGAGAGTTTTGTCAAAAAATAGTAATAGGTAATATTTATTGAGCATTTGCTGTGTGCCAACTTTTGTGCTAAATGTTTTACATAAGCCTAGAAGGGAAGAGAAGCTTAAGAACAGAGTTCAGGACCAAAAATGGTTCCCCTTTTGCCCAATCGGTATAGACGTATGTCTGAGTCCTAGGGAAAAAACGATTATATCAGGAAGCAGAAAGAAGTAATTTCCCCACAAAATCTATGAGAGATTTTGGGATACCAAGGCAGTGCTCCTTAGGAACCACTGTGACAGAGTATAGTGCCGAAGAAACCTGCCTCTTGTTGATAAGAGAAGCCTTATGCAGAGTCCCGTGGATGTGAAATGATTTCAGGGGACTGTCAACCCCATGCAGCACATACAGGGAGGACGTTACAGTGGAGGTAGTGTCAGAGCCTTCTACCTTTTCATGGGAAACACCATTGAAAAGGAAGAGAAGAAAAATGGTTGCATTTCTGATATGGCCCAGATAACTCTGCAGAATCTTGAAGATGATTTCTAGAAACTGCTGCAATTGTTAGGGACCATTTAATGAAGGTAAGAGAGTAATTGGGGCCACTTTGCAGAAGAGATGGAAAGCCCACAATAGCAATGAGAGTGAGACAGAAAAATGGGTAACACTTAGATCTTTGTGATAGGAAAGAATATTTCTGGTGGATGTTATAAGAATGTTAGAAGGTCCTGCACTTATTAATAAAATATGTTCCCACCTTCCTTAACTATTCTACTACACAGAAAGTTCAAATTATTGTTTTAGACACCCTTTGAACTAAGATTTGTAGATTGGAGAGTGTGTAAAAAAGAACAAGAGAAAAAAAAGAACAAAGAAATAAGAAAAAAAAAAGAATGCTTTTAAAAAAAGACTTTCAGGGTCATTCACCATATATAATGTAACTGCATTCCAAATGTTTTGTTTTAATACACAAATATGATCCATAAGCCTCCCTCAATAAAACCACACCATAAAAGGAGCTTTTAGTGGCAGGGCAGGGTACAGATAAGAAAAATGTGGAAGATGTCATTCAACTATCTCTATAAACTAAAAACAAAGTACATAAAGGTTGGGACTAACTACAGATGAATGTTCCTTTAGAGGACAGTATGTTCCAATTTTATTGGATTCCTCAGAAACTAATTGCTCTGTTCAGCAATGTTTTTGTGAGCTAATTACACTGCTATATGACTTTTACAAATCATTCTGTCATATTTTTTAGTGGAAACTTTATATTCCCCAGTAAAATAAGAATGGAATTTTTTATAAATCAAAATGTCTTTCCATATCGTTCACCTCTTATAGACTGAATAATGGCCACTCATGTCTGAATCCCTGGAACCTGTGAATATGCTACATTACATGACAAAAATAACTTTGCAGATGTGATTAAAATGTGGTAAGGATCTTGGGATGGGAAGATTATTCTGGATTATCTCAGTGGGCCCAATGTAATCAAAGGGGTCCATATAAGTGAGAAATGGGAAGCTAAAGTAAGAGACCACAATGTGACAATGGAAGCAGAGGGAGAGGAAAAATATGATGGTAGAAGCAACAATCATAGTCAGAGAGATCGGAAGGTGCTATGCTGCTGGCTTGACGCTGGAGGAAAGGGCCAGAAACCAAGGGATGCAGGCAGCCAGCCAACTGCTGGAAAACGGGAGGAAATGGATTCTTCCGTAGATCTTCCAGAAGGAACACAGACCTGCCACCATGACTTTAGCTCAGTGAGGCTGATTTTGAAGTTATGACCTCCCGAAATTTAAGATAATACATTCATGTTGTTTTTAAGTCACTACATTTTTTGTAATTTGCTGTATGAGCAATAGGTAACTAATATACCAAGTGAATAAAAGCTTTGACCATTTCTGTTTTGCAAACAAGTGAAGAATATTAGCTAGAAGTTTAACTTCATTTTATTTTCTGTGCTCTGGAATAATATAAATAGTATTGGAACTATCAATAATTTATATTTTCCTAAAAATCATCTTCTTAATTCAGGTTCTCACATTTATTTGTTTTGACTTGAGCAAAGTAGTTGCTTCTGAATTTTTCAGTTTCCTCTGTATTTGTGGTCATTCCATTCTTTCCAACTTTGTACTTTTGTAGTATCTCTCATTTCCCCACTTGATCGGATGACTTAAAGGTTTATGTTTATATATTTTAAAGCTTTTTTGGGAAGAAACAGTTCTTGGAGTTACATAAGCGTTTTACTTTTTTTTTTTTTTTAATCATTATTGAATGCTTTTTGAAATTTATGATTCTTCCCTTCTGCTTTTCTTGGTATTCCTTTTTTCCCCCAACTTGAGTCTTATTTGTAAATAGAAAATTTCTAGCTATGAATTTTGCTCTTTTTCTTTGCTTGTATCCCATGTTTCTGATGTACTGATGAGCAAAGTCATTTGATAATAAGCAAGCAGATTTTCCCAGTGAAGAGATCTGTTGTCCTGTGAAGGAAATAGTTGAATGATCTGTTGTTTGCATAAATATGTTTTCAGAAAGTTTCTCAAGCAATAAAGTTATTTCTAATAATTTCTTTCCTTCCCACTGAGAGATTGTATTTTGTGCCCTACTGGTATCAAGCTTGACTATGTGGCTTGTTTTGGACAATGAAATGTTAACAGTTGTCCATTGTGGAATTCTGTCAGTCCTCTTTCTCTCTGCCCTAAGAGCAGTGTGTCCCAGATTGGGGTTTCCCCTTGTCCAGGGTCCCAGGAGGAAGATGTGCAGTAGGGCTGGAACCAACAAGTGACGGACATGCACTGGAAACAAGAAATCAATCTTTGTTGTTGTCAACTGCTGAGATCTTTGCATTGTTTGTTATGCAGCATAAGCTAGCAAAATTGATACTGCGTGCATTGAATAAATAAATATATATGTACATATATTCCTTTATATACTATATTATATACATATTACATATATGATACATACACAATATACATGTATAATATAACATATAAACCTAACCATGATATAATAACATCTTTTGAACATATAATGTATAAGTACATTTTTGGGGACTTGAGATATAATGTTTGCTAATTAAATTATTACAAACTTTGGAGTTGTGTGTTTGCTTTATGACACATTTGTGGTCGTAGTCAAGATTTGTTTGTTGCCAACTCTTAGGTCAAAAACATTTCTGCATTACAACTTTGTTTCTTTGAGAAAATCCCATTACTCTATATCCATCAGCTTTCGGACATGGTTCTAGAAATTTGCTTAGATGTCTGCAGTTTTAATTCTGGGATTTTGTTACTTAAAACCAGTGAAAATGACTTATAATAATAGTGACATAGTATATCTGTATAAATATTGTCTCTTATAGAAGAAAAATATATAATCTCCTGTAACCATCAGACATATAGACTGTATGAGATATGAGGAAAGTTTTAGAAAAAAAAAGAAAATGTTCTAATTGTTTCTATAAAGCATCATCAAGAAGGCAAGTGGTTTT